TAAATACGAAAAAAAAATTCCAAAGCCAGTTTTAATTCATTAAATTAAGTAAATTTTATGGAAATTTTTTTTATTTATGTAAATTAAGTAGCGAGTCGCAATATTTAGCCTATATTCGTGTCCGGACTATATCGGCCAGTCACTCTTAGACATAAAAAATATTATAATTAATGACGATCCGAACAAAGACGTCCTAAAAGAATTATATGGTTTAATATCATTAATTTTTACGGCACCGTCGACCGGTGCGCGTGTCGAGCGCAGTTTTTCGACCACGAAGCGAATTCATACATTGACAAGGAACACTCGGTGGGAGGAAAGACTGTCGTCACTAACGTCGCTTTCGATAGAAAAAGAGCTTTTAAATACGTCGATGGAGTCGACCACCGGCGACTTTTATGATAAAGTAATTAACGACTTTGCCGAAAAAACCTCCGAATAGAGTTTTTTTTATTCTGTATGTATTGATGTATTATTTGTACTGTATTTTAGAATTAAAATAAATAAATTGTTCATTTTTGTCATTTCCAGTATTTTTTAAAAGTTTTTATGGAAATGTGTGGTTCCGGACGGGTCCGAACTGTCACGAAAGACGCGAAAAAATGGTTATTTAGAGAAAAATTTATTACTTTAAAAAAAGATAGGAAAAAAATCGTTTGTAGTCGGACACCATTGTTTATATCAAACTGCGACGCAGAAACCATAAATCGCGGAAGGAAGTCGTCCTACGATCGGTGGAAGATCGAATTCGTCTTCGATTTCGTACATAGTGTAAGCTAATAAGCTTACACTATGTACGAAATCGAATTATGTTAAAATAAACGGTTTTTGTTAGATACTCGTCGTCTTCGTCTCCTCCGCCACCCCTCGCCCGCCAATGGACCCTAGACCGTCAATGACGCGCAATTAACCGATTGCCCCTGGAAGTCGGCTTCTTACAAAACACGGCATCCCTATCTTCAAATTTCACGGCACGCCACCGAGCACTCGGTATATTGGTGGTAGTTTTCCTATCGAGAGCCCGATAACCGGCAGAAGAAAACTGCGAACCAGCCCTTATAAAAGATAAATATCGTAGTCTATCACTGCGTAATGAGTTGAAATATAGTCAACGAAATTGACGCTAACACACACATGTACGAAATTTTTTGAGTTCGGACCTCTAAACGTGGAGATTTACAAATAACGCGGAGGTTCAAATTTGACGTCATTCCAATACTTCTCCGTTTTACGTACACAGAACAGCCGGAAACGTAAAAACGGTGTTAAACTTCGGAAAGAAAGAGGAAAGTAAAACAAAGCCATATCGAAAAGGAATCATTTTGTTATCCATTAAAACATTTAACAAATAATTACGAAGATTAGAATTAGTGTCAGCGGGGAACCGATAAAATAGTACGACCCTATTATCACCGATTTCGTTCATCTACCGAAAATGTAGCAAAATGAGATAGGTGTCAGCTGTCGCGATAGGTACTCGTACAAATAGACGTATGCCGAGTAACTAGTTTGGGGAGAGGTTTCTCTACTAACTCTGCTGGAAAACGAACTGCGATTTTGGTATCGCTATAATTTAATACATAAAAATATAAATACGACTTTTTAACAAAGTTAAAACTTTGTGTCTGTCCTCCTTTTCGCCGTTTTCACCATCAGCAATACTTTAAAAAAGTTCACAAAATTACAGAGGCGACCTTCCTTTTGAGGCTACTACCTCTGCAACAAAATGTAAAATAGGTAAAGCGTCCTCTGGTGTTCTTGCCACATTCACAATAATACATTTTAACTAAAAATAATAAAATTCATGGCCGGCGTTATTTACATTTAATACATAAAAATATAAATACGACTTTTTTATATCGCTATAATTGTTATTAGGCTAATACGTGGTGTTGCTGGAACATATCCTACGCGGCATAGATTACGTATTAGTGTCTAGTGTTACGACGGACCAAAGTCGTGGCATAAGTACAGAAAACAAATGTTTTGTTTACGTGCCGTTTGTGCACGTGTGTATCTGTGTTTAAGAGTTTCCTATCTTTTTGTATGACAGTTTTTTTCGCGCGATGTACGCGCAGTTGTGAACTTCTAATGTTTCGAGACTTACGTAATGTATATGGTACGAGGCTTGTTCGAGAAAGCACTACTGCCGTAATAAGTATCTCATCAATTCTCTAGAGAGGGCTTTATTTCGTGGGCGAGTTTTGATCAAGTATTTACTAATTTTTTAAATGTATGTATTTCGTACGTTGTCGGTGGTTGGCGCAGTTATGTCTGATGTACGACGCGCGATTATTTTCTCCCGTCAAGTGAATATGACGTCCCGGTTTGTCGCGATAGATTGTTTGGTCCGATTATGGCTCGGTGGCAGAATATTTTTGTTTGTGCTTTCTATAACCGTCAGAGGTGTGTACTGCACACGGTTCCTGTGGAAGTTGAGTTTGTGGGCGAGTTTTACATATATTTGCTACTTGGATATGTGGATGTAAGTAGTCGGTTTGTGTTAAAAGCTCGCAACCCGATGAAATATGTTGTGTGGTCTGGTGCGTGACGTGGCATTTCCTTCAATTATTGTCTCTCAAATAACCTGGAGTAAAGCAGAATCTCCGTATTAGAGAAGAAAGAAAGAACCCGGAGTAACGTTTGATCGGGAATCTGGCGTTCTTCGATAACACCAAAATTTACAGTCTTACATTATTAAATTTTATGTAAATAAAATTACTCGCTTCTTCATTTTCCCTATTTATCTGTAATTTAAAAAGTTTTTTAGCAGACATTTTGCTAGTTATAACTAATAGGAACACAAAACGCGACTTTCGTATTAGGATTTTACAATAGATCACTATTAACCGAAAACAGTTTTGTTTACGGTTTTCCTTCTTCCAACGAATTACCTTCCAATAACGAGCGACTTCCACGTATTCGAATTGCGAAAGAAAAGAAATCATTAAACGGAAAAGTAACTTGGAAAAGACATTTCGATAACGAGTTAAAACGACAAAACGGTTACGCAAACCTTCGGGTACGACGTCAAACCGACGTTATTTCGCAGTACACTAGACGCTACACGCAAGAACTTAAGCCGGATTTAAGTTAATTCGATTTTAAAAATCTAAAGCCAGAAACCCAAAGAATAATTTTTGTCACAAAGTTGGTCCGTCGCCTTTTCGAATGACGGAACGACGGGGGGTAGGAACTTATCTGTTTTAATTTCACAGTAAGATATTCTCCATCGGTGCATATGTGATACGAATCCGTTCGTCAAGCGAATAAGAATTCGCCAAGAAACTAATAAGTCGTATCGGAACGAAAACAGTTCCATATTACAAGAACTAATGAGTCATACACGCGGTTAATACGTATTTATAATTTCATTGTACAAATAACATAAAACCCAATTTAAACGCTATGTAACTAAGTATAAAATTAGCAGTTTTTTCTGAAAAAAATAGAGAGAAATATATCCTAAATTTAATTTCGATTTTCGTCATTTCATTTCGAGAGATGGCGCTACAGTATCACTTTTTTAGGGAGGTCGGGACACCGATAAAGCTGCAAATTCAGTTTTGGAAATATTTGGCACAATCAGATTTTTTAATGAAACTTTCCAGTGTTTTCGAGTACCTACGTTTCTTTCACACAATATAAACTACTAAAAAAGATATTTTAAAACTTTTTACATTATAATAAAACGGCGTCTATTAGCAACTTAGTATTTCGTTTGGCCGTCGAACGTATATACGGCGCCTTAACTAGGCTTTTACGCGCCCCGTGCGAGCTTCTACAACTACGCCCCAAAACTCGGTTCGGGTCGTTTCTGCGCCCCGTGCCCGGGCACCGCCCTAGTTACGGCACTGGGCATATATTCTAACTGTGTACAGAATAGTTATTATACGTGTCTTAAACTTAATGATAATTAAGTTTAAGACACGTATAATAACTGTCAATCGGAATACGTGGAACGAAACTTACAGAATTTATTATACACCGTATACATAAATTTAGGTTTGAAGCGCTTACGTCGATTTCAACATTATATTCTATTTTTTAAAGTTGCTTCATTTTTTGTATTTTAAGCAATCAATTTTAACTTTATTACGACCGGTTTCGTACAGGTACGTTTAGTTTTAACTTTAACGTCGTCGGTACACAATTTTCTTAAAACAACCGCAGCTTTTTTAGTAGCTAAATCCACGAGTAAGAATTGGACCGACAACACCGCATTGTAGTCGCGCGTAGCAATGTCTGGTATTATCATCTATTGTTTTTGGCCTTAGTCGGCGGGGGAGAAATTATTCGTCGCCGACTCGCCTATCCACAAAGGTGGTCCCGAAAACACGGGCCGCCGCCTAAGTATTTCGCCGGGCCCGGGGTATTCTTTCCAACGACGAATTACTTCCAGTTCTAACTACAACGCGCCATTTATGGCAAACACCACAGAGAAGACGGGGAAATATTTTCCACGCAGATTAGATTTTACGGATTCGGCCTTTCCGCGGTGCAGATTACTCAGTTCCTTTTGTACGGTAACATCCGATCGAAGCGGAAACCGAAATTTTTCCTGGTAATTTCTCTTCGATTTCTTTCGATTCGGTCAAAAACATAAAAAAGTACGAAAGGAAAACCAAACGACGGACCAATAATTAAAACCGGAACCGAACCGTTTTACTATTTTCCTCCGCCGGTCGAACGGAAAGAAAACCATTTGTCTATCTCTTATGGGGGTTTTTCTCGACCGTACGAAATTACCGGTCGAGAGCCGCGGAAAATGCCTTCGGGAGGTTTTTTTAAGAGTAACTGGCCCCATTTAGAAGTTAAAGAGGTAAAGAAAACCCGGAAAACCGCACGTGGCCGGCCCGTCCCGGTTAGGGGCCAACCCAAAGAAATCCATTTCCGCGCACGGAGACCTTTTATACGTAACGAAGAGGAAAAGTTTACTCGAGACTTCGGCCGGTTCCCGCAAGCCACCGAAGAAACATGGCGGAGAAACGGGTACTCACCGGCGTTGGCGACCAGGGCCAAGTAGAAAATCCCGAAGCGAAAAGCGGAGGCGGTTTCACTCGTCATCGTCTCGTGGCAATTACTTCAAAACGCGACTTGGCGGCGGTTGAAAATTCGATTCGTTTCTCGGTAAGTGGATGATATAACTTCCGTCTCCGACCGGCACTTCCTCTTTCGCTTCCTCCGTCGACGGCCGTGACAATTACGATGGGCTCCGGGTGGCGGCGCCTTTCTCCTCCACCCATTCCAATTTAAAAGGCCTATTTCCGCGGTTCTTCTCTCGTCCGGCACCGTCCATGGGCCCTCGTGCCGATCACCCGAAGGTTGCCGGGCATTTAATTAAGCCGACGAAACCACTTATAAACTTAGAGGGAGCGAGTTAGTGCCCGGAAAATGGACGGAAATCACCCTCACCGTTACCGGCCAACCTAGTGAAGACGCCCAAATGGGGGCCAGTTACCCTTAAAAAACCTCCCGGAAAGCATTTCACGATTTCGTAGGGTCGAGCAAAAAACCTTTGTCCGCTCTTCGAAGGATAAGCCGTAGCGCAATAACCTCCGCGTTAACCCCGATACGAAGATAGAGATAGAGACCAATAGAAGAACGTCGACGCATATTCCGCGCGGGCACTCGACCCGTCCGAATTAAGAACGGCGGTTTTTCGTCTCCTAATTTAAATATTAATACGACGGACGCCGAGAGAGTAATTAATAAATTACTGCGGTGGGAGAAAGTCTCCGTCTCCCTTCGGCGGAGACGGACGGCAGGTGGAGCCGGCGACGGGCGGAGAGGGATCGATCGTCGGGTTTGTTATGATAGGAAGAGGCCGGGAACATGGAACTGATTAAAACTCCTAAAGTAAGCCCTTTTATATTTCCGGGTTTTTACTTCCGTCGCGCGGAAAACGCTTCTTTTCGCCGGGAATCGGCCGGCTCCGCGCCTCGCCGTCCGCTTCCGCCTTTTAAACGTCGTACTATTAACTTCCTGCGCCAAAAGTTTTTAATCTCTTCGATTCGTTCGTCACCGTCCACCCCCCGATCGGCACGTAATGGTGTGCGACGGAGCCTCGACGTTTCCTAAATATAAATTAAAAAGACGTGGGCAACGACGCCACTCATTTCCGTAATACGCGGTAGATAAATTTCTTCCGACCAAACGGACGACCGTTCTTGGCTCGGCGTATTCCAAGTAGACGCTCTCCCCCGAGGGCCGTCCGTAAATTACTCCGAAATTTTTACTCTCTTCCTCCCGTCGTCCCACTCTGTCCAGTTTTCCTAACCTCCTCCCCTCTTCGGACGTCCGACCGAACTCCCCGTAAAACTCTATCGCTTTACGAACTGAAGGTGTCGCTGGTAGAGACTGTGGAATTATCTCCGAATTGCTCGTGTCGGATTGCGACTTTCCCCCGAGTTAGAACGGCGTTTTCCGTAGCGTCTCCGTTGCAAAACGTGAGATTTGTCTCGGAAAGTGTGGCTGGGCCTTCTGCACGGGTTGTGCCTTTCGGTCGTGTGTAATTTCTTAACAAAATTAATCTTTGCGCGTTCTTTTTAACATTTTAGTAAAATTCGGTTTCGTTTCTCCGGTTAAACTTTGGATTACGTTCGACCGGACGTCCGTCCGGGAGGAGGACGCGGTCCCGGGACGGATATAGGTGCCGGTCGGCGGGACCGGAGACTCGGGATTCCGGACGGAGGGACGGTCCGTCTCGGCTGGCGTCTCCCGCGGTCTGCCTCGGTCGGTCCGTTCTTTGGAAGCTCCGACCGTTCCTTTTTGGTCCGCCGGGCGCGGTCGTCTTTTGCGCTCTCTTCTCTGCGTCGTCTCCGGCAATTTACGCACGAACTTTTTGGATGCGTCCTTTTGCCCTTCCTTTGATCGTCGTTCCGTTTCTGCAAATTTCCGTTAGACGGTTGCCGTCTCCCGACCCGACGATCGACCGTCCTTTCTCGAGACGGCGGAATCGCTCGTTTTCCGGAACGACGGAACCGAGATCGATTCTTGCCTTCGGTCTTCCCCGCCGTCTAAAAAAAGGCTTCGAAAATAATGGTGCGTGCCGTCTTTGCGGCTGCTACCGTGGCGATGTGGCGGTGCTTGCAGTTTCTTTTTATCTGCATAGTATTCGTGGTTCAAAACGGAGTTGTAAAGAAATTACGTATTTCTAACTTTTTTGAAGTTATGTTGTATTAAAGAAAGAATTTTGTTGCGGGTTGTTGTAGTGAAAATGTTACCTTTGTAAAACATACGATATGTAATATTTGTAAAATTTAATTTGGTGACTGTTAGATTGTGTGCGCTGCTCTACGTTATTATTTTGCACGGTGTTGTCTGTTTGTGCCGAGTGCCGATATTTCTCGGTCCTGTATTTCGAATAGAACTTTTCTATTAGAATGTACCTTAAAAGCAAGATTTACTTAAAAGCAAAACATTCTAATACACTGACAAAATCCTATACATTTTAATATAAAGTAGTTTGGCTAATAGCAAGTTGCATATTGGCAAGATTTTCCTACTAGAAAACTATTTTTCTGCACCACTTATGAAATTAGTTATTTGCAAGTTTTTGCAATGAATTCTTCCCTGTCTGCCTCCCCTCGTTTACCAAACTGGATTATGTGTCGTGCATTTTGTGCTGTATGGTAAGGACCGTTATTTATTTTGAGCCGAGAAGGTGAGGTATGACGAGTAAAAGGCCGAGACGCGATTCGGATTTGAAACAAAAATATGAAACTGCAGTTATTAAAAAGTGAGTGGAAGCAAAAAGTGTTGCCGAAAATTTTATTGCGAACGAGTCGATAATTTTGTGCATAAAAAACGAGATGAAATTGCCAGTGAGTTTTGGCCTGGAAAGAAAGTGGACGACCGTGCAAAGATGAAATTCAAGTAATGGAGGAAAGTGGTGAAGAGGGACAATAAATGAAATGTGATCGTGCCTACCCACACACGAACATCTAAGACTTTGTAAACATTGAAAAAGTTCCTCAAATCTCGTGATAATGGCTTGACTGCTCTGTACTCTTTGTGCATAGTAGAAGAATTTTTAACAAAATTGTTGATTGTTAAAAAAAAAAAGCAGCAGACATATGCCAATTACAGGTTTTAATTAAAAATAAATAAGAAATTAAATACAGTACTTTATTCTGAAGAATGTTTGTTTATTAACAAGTTTGTCTTTTAGTAAGAGTTTTTTGTGGAGAAAGGGATGTTCTGATAGACAAGTTTTACTATATACACATAAAAACAAGTCACTGAATATTTAAAAATATATACACATTGGTGTTTCATATTTCAAATTTAATTTGTTCCAGGAGGCCATTTGAAGTCCAAATCAATTTTCCCATTAGAAAGNAAACAACCGGGATCCCGGGATCCCGTTTGAGAAACCCTAGTTCGGATAATCGACGCTATACTGTATTTGTCAAAGCGAAATAGACTGGCGAATTACTTTGAAACGGCGTTTTATTCACAACGGTCAGTTTTACATTTTTACTTTCCCCGCTTTTACGCGTAAGTAACTTACAAAAGAAAAGCATTCGAATCGTGTCAAATTTGACTCCGAATTTTTTTGCAAATTTCCACGTTTTCGAAACCTCCCGAAGCCAAAAAAGTAAAAAAAATACCAGCAAAAAAATTCCGCGAATGCGCGCGTCGACGTCTATTTCGTTTAATACGGGATGGGGCGAAGACTAAGAAACTAAACGTGATACGGTGGTCGTAGGCCTATATAAGGAGTATCGATGCTACAAAATTTTGGTGGCGAAAGGTGGAGGAAGTAAACAGAAAGACGGTGGCGCGTCGTATCCGGCCGGGAGTCGGACTTAATCCAGACTTAACTCGTTAGCACCCCCGAAACACTCAAAATTAACTCCGTCGATATTTTTTAATAATTAAAAACAAATAAAATTTTTATAATAAAATATGGTAACGGATAGCGCCGAGTAGAATTTTATTTATTTACTAGCAGACCCCGCCACGCGTTGTTGTGGCTCAAAATGTAGAGGAGAAGGTGGTATTATGGAACCCCAATTATATTTTAGTGAATTGTAAACAAGGTATCATAACTACACCCACATTTTTTGTGCCAAAAGTACTGATAACTATTAAACTAAATGTTCGTAATTGGATTTTTCTCTAGTGTAACTATAAGTATGGTTTTTGAAGGCTTTTGTACAAAAAGTCCGAAAGTAGGCTTAGAGAAAATCGGGTGGTAATACGGAACCTTACTGTATATTTTCAAAAAANAATAAACTTGGGAAATTTTTAAAGTATTTTACCTCATGTTTTTTTTTTCATTACTGTTTCAGAAAAAGATTTTGTAAACTGTTATGTCTGGTAAAGAAAAGTTGTTTTTTTATTGCTACATAATTCACTTTTTATCTGAATTAATTTCCGCGGTAGTTATAGGTTAGTTTTTGGCGATACCCCTCGATGACCTTGGACGACCATTCTCATCTCTCACCACTTCCACACGATCGCCCTTGATGACTATAGTCGTCGGTCACTACTCAGTGGTTAATATCATAATATAAATCATATTATATTGTATAAATTTACATTCAAATACATTGTGATAGCTAATTCTAAATTTTTATCATCAAAAGTCCCATATAAAATGGCTAAGAATGCTTGGGTTAAATCTAATGTTTTTGAATACTTTATTATAACCACAGATGAAAACATTGTGTGTAATAGGTGGTTGGAGATAAAGATAATAGTGGTGATAAAGAAAAACATGAAAAAAGGATAAGTATTTTCTGTTTGTCTAATGATTCATTTAAAAAATGCTCAAAAAGTAGTGTGATGATTCACTTAGTAGTAATGAAATGCCATTCTGAGTTAATATAATCAAAGTATATTTGAAATAAGTATTTAGAGGTGGAAGCCAGAGTTTCTAAAATTCTATGAGTCAAAGTGTCGGAGTCGGGTTTGGTCTAGCACTTCACGGCCCTGTTTTTTCTAGGCCCATTGCGTTTTAATCTTCATCCTTCACTGAGTGGCCATCCCATTATGAACCTGCTTAGGGACAGTCTGACATACTTGGATAAGAGTGCTCATAAAAAATTCCTGAAGTTCTTTGCTCATCTAGAATTGATCCTGGATATCTACAGAATAGCTGGCTGACATTTTTACTTTCAGAGTCATCCATGAGGTCATTAGTGGCCAAGACATAGCCAGAGATTGCAGTGCCACAGCACTGCAATCTCTGGCGAAAATTTAAATTTGCCAACTGGAATTCTTTCGGATAATTGATGTTTCGGATGATTGACTTTCGGATAATCGACACTCTACTGTATATCATAATATTCTTCTTAAGTTAATAACAATTCTCACCCAAAACCTAAAGTCCAGTGTCAGAAAAAATTCACATTTTTGGGCTTCTCTGGAGTCCTGCTTCTGGTAAAAATTGCCCTTTCTTTGATGGAACACCAATTTAATTAAAATAAAAATTCAAATTTTTCAAAAAATCAAATTATATCTGTTGAGAATGGAATGGATTTAAATGGGATTGTTTGCCTAAACATTATGAAAAATGGAATAAAATGCCGTGTGTCAGTATGGGCCAGCTCTGGTATAGAGGTGCAATTACAACAGCCTAGCATCCTGGTAATGTTGCAATGCACCAACCATCTTAGATTCTTAGAAACTCTAGAAATTTTTAAGACAGGTTTAAGGAGCACTTATATTAATTACACATCGTTCTAGACTGCATATTTTAATATCAAAAAACACTTACTACAACACCTTTTCTTGCAGTCGACGTTTATTAGAAAACTTTCAAACGTTTTCGGTCTTATTAAAAGACCTTTCTCAAGAAAATNCGGATTCGCATAACACGGCAATTTTTTGGAACGTAACTACCGTGT